AAATCTAGAAGTTCTAACATTTGAGTTGGAATAGTTTGAGAGCACAAGTATAATCTCAAAAGGGCTGTTATGGCGGACTAATGAGTAGACAAGTCTAGACATTTAATGTCTCGACAACCTCTAGTCAACAGCCTTTTTTAAGATGCGTAACAAAATTGTGATATTTACTGATGTATTTTATGTCATTAGAACAAAACATAAAAATCTCTTAAGCTTGTGTTAACCTCAGACCTTGTTTTAGGCATCTAACCAAAAGCCCATGGACTTCAATGGGAAAAAATGCTAGCTCAGTTCCAGGTTTCATTCCTGTAGCACTCCATACAATGTAACAGCACCAGTGTCTTCAGAGGGACTTTCTGTAACTGATCTATATACAGTGTAAATATATAAGATGGCAGATGTTGACATGTGAGGTTAAAAGGTGTCCTTGTTCCCTTCCAGGCATTGTCAAGCTGGACCCCGTGCTTCCTGATGACAAGCCCCTTCCACCCCCTCCACCCAGAGCCCAAAGTGCCGTCTTTGAAGATGAGGAGAAATCCAAGGTATGACGTTTAAGTGATGATGAAGAGGCACCATTCATTATGAATAGATTTTCTTTTTTTTTTTTTTTTTTAAAGGAAAGACTTGCATCATGTTTGACTCATAAAAAAATGTTCCATACTGTAAGTTAATCTCCTGGGAAAATCGTTCAAGGGCCGACAGTTTGCAAAGTTCTCTTCCTCTTTTCTTTCCTCCCCCTCTTCGGTCCTATCCTGTTTTTGTAGATGCTGTCTCGCTTATTGAACAGCACCCACCCCGAAGATTTAAGAGCAGCAAACAAGCTCATTAAGGAAATGGTCCAGGAGGTGTGTCATCGATTGTGTTTACCATATGTGTGCTGTACAGTATGTGTGTCTGTGTTTTCCACAAAATACACACCTGGTTATCTACTGTGATGACATTAATGAATCTGAATAGTAGTCTTCAACTTACATTTTTAAATATTATTAAAGTGATTAATGCTTTAGTGTGACGTACTAATTTCCTCCAATGTTTTCAACTGATGTTGGAAGCTGGATATCCAATTAATTATCAAGGTTTTGATTTAGGGATGATCAAACATCAGGCTTGAGCTTCAATGTAAACCTTTTGCTGAATATTAATAATTAATTAAATACACTAAACTATACACTAACAGGGAATACTAAATACAGGTTATTAAGTAATTGAGATGAATGATCATGATTTGAACTGATGAAATATAGGTATCAGATTTAACAACAAACTAAAAAAGTACTGCTTTTCCGTTGAATGGTATGCAATTAATTAATTAGTAGTAAAGTAAAATATTAACTCCCAAGGTTTGTAAATGTAAAACCTGCTTGACCTTCACACACATTTATTGTGATAAAGAGTAGTCTATAAATAACCTATATTACTCTCATACTGTCATGTCTCCTGTGTCATAGTCACCTTGACGAACAAATTCAGTCAGGAAAAGGTCTGCAAAAATGCTGCAGTTTTGATATTTGTTCATTTGTACCGATCCTGGGCACTGTGAGACTCTAGTCCTCTTTCCCCAGGACCAAAAGCGCGTGGAGAAGGTATCAAAGCGGGTGAACGCCATCCAGGAGGTGAAGGAAAGTGTCAGCCTGCTGAGCCAGCTGCTGGAGGGCTACAGCAAGGAGAGCTGCTCCCAGAGCAACCAGGAGCTCATTAAAGTTAGCACAGCTCAGCACATTAAAACTAGTTGCAGCTACTCTGCTTGCACCACCCGCTAACATGCGTCTATTTGCAGGATCTTTACCAGCGCTGTGAAAAGATGAGGCCTACACTATTCCGATTAGCGAGCGATACAGAGGATAGTGATGAAGCCTTGGGTAAGTTACACATTCTATAAGACAGAATAAGACATTTATGAAGTCACTTTTTTTCCCATACAAATGTCATGGAACCACTTTGGTGTTGCTAATGAGCCTTTTTTCTTCTTACAAGCGGATATCTTACAGGCCAATGACAGCTTGACGCAGGTAATCAACCTGTACAGGCAGCTGGTTAAGGGGGAGGATGTGTCGAAGGATGCCATAACCGTGCCCTCACAACCAGGTAGATGCATGTGTGTTTCGAGGCAAAAAGAATAAATGGCTGTGAAGTGTGATTTGCTTAATTAATTTAACAAATTGTCCCAAACATTTCTGTAGACTGTGAGATCACAATGGGTATTCTCTGTTCAAATCAGACAGCAGCAGCTCAGCACTCGTAGACCTGATGGGGCTCAACGCATCAGACAACACGGCACCATCCAACGCAGAGCCCTCCAGCCTACAGACCCTGACTCAGAACATGGGCATCAGCTTGTTAGACGATGAACTCATGTCTCTAGGTAAGCACAAAAAACTCATCTGGCTTGTAAACACAAAGGTAGATTACTAAGCTTAACTTTTTTAATGAGCCAAAAAGGACAAGTCAGCAAAGTGAGCACAGCTCAGTCTGCACTGTTATACTTTATTTCCATTGGCTGAAACCCAGCACCCTGAGAAGCAGTCCACATCTGGCTAGACCACAACAAAGCTACACACATTGACAGCCTTTCTACATTTAGCCAAACATGTCACAAACTCTGACATTAGCAGTGAATTATTTAAGTTGAGGAAGAGTTTTTGAACTGCATTACGTTTTAATGTTATAAACAGCTGAATTTGGAATGAAATGAAATTAACCTTTGTTGTCTCTGTTTTCTTAGGACTGAATGTAACAGAAAACTGCGACTCTCAGAACTCGTTTCAGGTGAAAGTTGTAAGATGATACTGTACTGCTCACATTCAAGCCATTGTATGTAGAATTTTAAAACATCCATCTTTAGCACCACCCAGTGGAAGTTTCAAAACACTCTTCTACAAGCAAAAACTTATTATTATTATTATTATTATTATTTAAAATATCACAGATAATCACAGAAGAATACTACACATAAAGACTGATAATATTGATTGATTGAAAAAAAAAAATGTATCTCTTTATATACATAAACTTTAACTCTTTTTTTTTTAAATTTTTTTTTCAGTCCTCTGATAGCACAGATTCATCTGCTACAGCAGTGTTGCTACCAGCTGTGGTTCAAACCCCACATGCTCTACCAGTAGGGGGCCCCACTGCTCCACCTAAACCCATGGAAGAGCTGGACATGTTGGGGAAGACCTTGATGCAGCAGTCCCTACCTCCAGAGAGCCAGCAGGTCAAATGGTATGCTATGGAGGACCTGGAGTTAAGTCTAATTTAATACACAGCAGCGGTGAATCACTTGTTGAGGCGAGGTATATTTTTTCTTCGGCATGCAGGGACAAGCTCCAACCTCAATCCAGAGTCACTTTACGAGATCTGCAGAAGTCCAGCACCAACTCTAGACCTGCTCCAAACGCAACCACCATCTCCTCTGGTCCTAACACGTACAGCCTGGCCGCCCATCCAGAGCAACCTGACACTCTCCTCCTGTCTAATCTCAGTCTCACGGCTGCTGAGAAAGTCTCACTAGCTGCTGCTGCTGACCCCTACGACAACCTCTCTCTAACTGACGTTACTGTGCCTCTGGAATCAATCAAACCTAGTAAGCACAACCAATAACAGCAGACTCAACAGTGACGCTCACGGGTGCCATTTTCTTTTTATTTCGCACTCATTCTGTTTCATTTCCCCCCCCTTCTCTGAAAATCTATTTCAGGCAACTTATTACCAGTGACTGTATTCGACAAGCACAGTCTCCGGGTTTTGTTCACCTTTGCCCGCGACTGTCCTCCATCGCGGCCGGACGTGCTGGTGGTAATCATCTCCATGCTGTCCTCGGCCCCCATTCCTGTCACTAACATCCGCTTTCAAGCAGCTGTGCCAAAGGTAGGTCCACGTTGTCTGCTG